AAATTTAGGAAAAACCATAACCTCAGCCTGGTATTCAAAACAGAATTCTTGTGGTGCGCTTAAAAAAGAATGCCTGATACTAAACTCTACTAAAAACTTGGCATTTGCTAATTCGAAAACTTTCTGTGAAGACAAATAATGAATATAGAATCTTCAGACTTTTTCTTGGAGTGTTGCAGAATTAAATGTTCGTGGCATATTGCCTGACAATATGTCTAATATACTCTTCAACCCCATGCAATCATAGCACATTTATTTGCATTGCCCTGCTCCCCTCTGCAAATTCCACCCTTACCTACAGCTCGGTGCAAGCTCCGTCAAATTCTATCCCTTTGTCATTCTGGCTGCCCCTTTCAGTCCTAACCTTGGCCACTTAATGACCGTTCAGTGGTCATCGCAGTTCAGCGCACAGTTGGATACGTCCGAGCTCTTCCTGCTCGGCAAACGTCTCTCTCTCTCTGTCTCTCTCACTCGCCCGCCGCCACACCTGCCCCCCATATAACAAGCTGTTTGTCAACACCAGCACATTTTTTGGTCATTTACCGACCACATAATTGCGGCATATTATATGCACACATATATATATTATACACGGACAACAGGCGCCCCACCCTCTCGGCATTATTACGTTTTCCTCTGGTTCATAGGTTTTCCGCTGAGGGCGCAAACATTCGCCGCTGTGGTCGTGGTTATATTACGTGCATATATAACTTTTTTTCCCAACTTTTATTTATTTAATCTTTATTTTTTATTTATTTTTCTTTTTTTTTGGTTGTTGCGGCGCCGAGACAAATGAAAAGTTTGTCCTTTAAACAAAGGCGGCGACAAGCGCTCATTTGCAAGGATATCTTCGGGGACACATGAATATGAATCAGATTGCCAGCTGAGTGAAAAATGAGCGCAAATTATTTAAATGCAATATAAAGTACAAATTTTAAATACGTATTTTAAAAAATACAACATGACAATGCAGCTCATATTCCCTCTCTCTCTCTCTCTCTTTCTTTTCATGGGATTTTTTTTTTGTTTTTATTCTTTTTGAATATATTTGTTATAAACATTATCTGACAACAACAACAACAACAACGACGACTACCGTCTGGCGGCCTCGATTGGAATGGCAACCTGATTGCTGCTGCTGCTGCTGCTGTTGCCGCTGCAGTACCGCCGGATATCCTAGATTATCCTACAAGCACGGACATGGTCGTACGGGAGGGCAGTAACGTGACGCTCAAATGCGCTGCTACCGGTTCACCAGAGCCGACAATTACATGGCGACGTGAAAGTGGAGTGCCCATCGAGTTGGCCAACGGCGAGGAGGGTAAGTTTCGGTTTGGAGTATCACCATGGTCATATGCATGCATGACTCTCTCTCTCTCTCTCTCTCACTCTGTGTGTGTGTGTGTGCGCGCGTGTGTGTGAGTGAGTGGTAAGTACTTTTTGCTGTTGTGCTGTTGCTGCCACCGCCTGCTGCATGAGGTTTGCCAGCCAACATTTTTGGAGTACTTTTACACAAAAACGTAGCGTACGCCAGCAGCGGACCAGCCATCGACTGGGTTATGGCCTCGCCAGACAAGTGCACAGCCAGCAGCGGGTACGTGTTACGTGGCCAAAGCACCTGAGGAGCGCACCTGTGTTCCAACCAGCTTTCAACCTGCATATTTTTGCGAGTGTGTCGATGCAGTCCACCCGGCCCAGTCCCACCCCATCCCATCCCCCTCTCAGACTGATGATGACGTTTGATGGCTGCACTGACAGAATTAGCGAGTGGTTAGTTAGCGAATGGTCAGCAGGCGGGCAAAACGTGCCAACTATTGCACTTCTGATTCGCCTGGAAAGGTCTGTGAGCGGGGATTAAGAACCCAAGTGCGCGTTGTGAATCTAATTTAAAACTAAAACCAATCAGTTTTGAGCAAACACTCATGAATACACTCATGAATGCACTCATGAATACACTCATGAATACCTCTTGTCATCTTACGAGTTAGAAGCTATATTTAACTGTCAAACTTTAAATTACATTGCATTTTTTGTATATACCAGCTAATGAATACCCTCATGAATGCACGAATATCTCATATAAATGTCTATTCAAATTGGCCTTGCTTTGAATAAATGAATATGTATGAATAAATGTATGAATACCTTTTCTAAACGTACACTGAAATTTTCATTACATTGATTACATTTTCATAAAAAATCTCGCACACATTCATGATTACTTTTATGAATGTACTCATGAATACCCTTTAGAAATGTAAAATATGCAGTATATCATTTATTTACAAATTTGTATACTCATGAATGTACTCATAAATAGAGTAAATGCACTCACGAATACGTCTTATAAATGTAAGAACATTCACTCAAACTTTTCATTACTTTGATTTTATTCAATTCATGAATGCTCCCATGAATACCAATTGCCTCTTCTAATTGTACACTCATACGTTCCTTTTATTGGTTAAATTAACAAATATATTCATTGCATACACTCATAAATACAATTATGAATGTACTCATGAATACCGATTCTAAAAGTGCTACGCATATTTCGTATAAGCGCATAAATACATTTAAGAATGCACTCACGAATACCTCTTTTTAGTACTCTCGAAAAATTACCTTAATAACAAATGAAAACCCCATGAATACTTTCATACAGAGACCTATTAGTATATCCCAAACATAGCTGTCTGTCTATCAATCTATTTATCTATCTATGTATCTATTTATCTTTTTTAATGCAGTTTATGGCATAAATTAATGTTTTAAAATTTTGTTTTGTTTTCTGTTCAAAATATTCTAAAAATCTCAGAGTTTTTCGTATCATTCATATTATTCACATGTCTTACCTGAATGCACACGTTTAACTTCTCGGGTATTCATATTGCATCTCTTTCCACACTTAATACGCACTTTCAGTTTTAATTAGCTCACAGAAGCATTTACAAAGCTCTTAAGCTGCAACTCATTAGTTCAAAGAAACCGTTTAGGATTATTCATTTCTTTTCGCGCACACAACATTCGTTCAGTGTAGTCCATTGCATGAGTTATGCTGCATAAACAGGTCGAGCCCCATCAAAGTCCACACGAAAGGCCAAAATCAAAGGTGGCCTAGCAAAAAATGTAGACCCCTGAAACGAAAGAGAAAAAACGAACCAGTCAAAAAAAAAGAAAACAAAAAACACCATTATTAGTACAAAAGTTGGCAAAATGACCTTTTCACTGGGGCTTAAATGTCTGCTACCCTCTGGAGGGCTGTCCAGTTGGACCATTGAAGCGCCCGCAATGCTTTTTAATACGCGATATGTGCTTGGGTAGCTCATGAGCTTAATGACTTTATCATTACGTTGGTAACATAATAAAGGCGTTCGCTTAGTGCAGTCGAAAGACAACAATTTTTAATTAGCATGATTATAATAATTAATACCAACCATTTTAAAATATTTTAATTGTATTTTATAAAATGTCAAGCACATTTGCATGCTAATAGATAAAGTCTTCTACAGAATAATTCTCAACATATTATGAAATAAATTAAAAATATTTTACAATTATAAAATATTTTTAATTCAAATTAACATAATTGTAGGTACATAAAAATGTGTTTTAGTATTTTTATAGAAATGTTATTCTGTTTAAAGCATAGTATAGTAAGTAGATGCAAGTCTTTGGACTAGGACTATATATATGTATACGTATATATGTATATATATTTTGTATAAGCAAACTAGGGTATATATACAAATTAAAAACGAATATTCACATATTTACTTGCAATTTATTATTTATTTAAATATATATAAATATATTAAAATAATAGCAGGCATTTAATTTTAATTTAAGAGATTTATTTTTCAAATGATTTAACAAATGAAGTACTTTTAATTTAAGTAGAATTAAGTTATTTCAAAAAATATCTACCACAAATTCAATAGGTCTCAAAAAAAAAAAAAGTCAACATGGATACGATTTCATAGCTATTGAAACATAGTTTGGGGCATAATTCATAGCCACATTATTGTAAATATATTATATCTCATGCAATTGGTAGCGTATTTTGAGGGCGCTAATTCAGGCATTCGTGGAGTTTTCTTTGTTTTAAAATCACCAGCACCGTCTGGTGGGGTGAAAGTTTCTGTTCGTTTTTAATTTTTTTTTGTTTTTCATTTGAAATTTGATTATTTGGTTTGGTTGCTCAAATGAAATCATGGCGCCCGAGTAAAGTTTTTATGCTATTTTAGCGTGGCGCGACTGTTTGCTGTTCATTTCAACCAAATTACACGTTTTTCGTGGCTATTACGTTTAATGACCGCACAAAAAATGTGCGGCTAATAAGCAATGCGGCTATTCCTGGCATTAAAGTCGGACTGCGGGCTGTGGACTGGGAGCGGGAACTGGAACTGGGAACTGTGACCCGTGACCTGTGACCTGGCCGAATCAATAAACGAAAAATCAGCTTATTAGATGTGCATATATCCCGCTGCCGTTGCATACGTAACAATATCAAGCGCAAACTAGCCAGCACTTCCGCTTCCGGTGCACCCAAACACACACACACAAACAGCTACATAGACAGATAGAGGACATATCCATATCATCATCATGTTGCACTTGCAGTCTGTGCTGCTGCCGGCTTAGCGAACAACTACTCTACAACTATGCAATTTATATAATAGCAAGAGTGCTTCAGTCGGGTGTGCACGACTAGAAGATGCCCTGAATCCAGCGGCGAACAATTTTGGACTATAAACACACCTTTTACCTATGAGAAATGCGTTTTTGAATAACTTCGGTCTTTTTTGCAATTTTCATATGTGCAAATGCGAAGGTTCCAGCCTATATAGGCAAAATTGATACATTCTTAAGTTAAAGAGATAGATACAAGGGAAGGTATTCAAGAAGTGAAATATTCTGGATCTAAGTATACTACTTTATCACATTTTAGACTGAAGCTCCTTTAATTTTCGTATTATGCTTCAAAACTATATCTCAAAATTGATAGTAATCGATATTTTGGAACTCTAGAAGAATATTAAACCAAATTATAAGCTCGCGCTGCGTATGCTATACGATAATATATATAGATCAAGTCTTTAACTTATATATTTCCCGTCCCGACCAAGCGATCCTCCTTCTATCTGTTAGACACATCCGCACAAAATAAGTAGACCTTTTGTAGCCATTCTCAATGCTGTGAGTGTATCAAAACCGAGTTCGACTATCAAAACAGGATATTTGCGTGGACCTGCCAGTTACCACCCCTTCTAAAGGCCACAACACCGCATGGTGCACACAGCATCATCATAAAAGTCGCTAAAAGTTTTTCGCTTTTCTATGCAACTTTTGTTGTACAAAATGTAAACCCAACTGCCGACTAGTTGGGCGAACAAAATGCATGAAAGAGCTTAGGCAAATGTAATAACTATCATTACATGGCTAAACATTTTGTAGATACATTTGTATTTACAGCTCTGGTAATTGCGTAGATACTTTGCTTGAAAGGATTATTTTTGACAAGAGCTGGTCGTTAACGAGTCGTTGCTTGCAATGTTAAATGATATTAATAACGATTTATGATTGTATAATTGGATGTGAATGAATGTATGTTATTTGTTAAACAATTGAACTGGTAATCAGAGAAAATATAAGCTTAACTAACTATATTACTTGTAATACTTTTTTTTTGTTTAAACAGTACCCAGCATTGAGGGCACGGATCTGATCATACCTCAAGTAAAACGTCAGCACATGGGCGCCTATCTATGTATAGCTTCAAATGGAGTCCCTCCCTCGGTGAGCAAGCGGATAACACTTGTGGTGCACTGTAAGTATTACAAATAAATTTAAAATAAAAAATGTTTATGCTAAAAATATATCTAAAAAATTAGAAAAGCTGTTGAAAATGTACTCATAAAGCTTATATTCTTTTCATTTCAGTTCCACCCATGATCACAGTGCAGAATCAACTAATTGGCGCCGTGGAAGGCAAAGGTGTTACTCTGGAATGCCAATCGGAAGCATATCCCAAATCCATCAACTATTGGACACGTGAACGTGGCGAAATCGTGCCACCAGGTAAGTTATGCGAAAGTATATTTTAAAATACCTTAATAATATATGCGACAGATTGAAACAGAGGTATATGAACCTTTAAAGCACATATAATCAGCAATGCATTATAAAACAAAATTTCATGAATTATGTTTTTATGAAAAATTATGCATACGCTCATAAATACATTTATGAATGCACTCATTGCTATTTTTTCTAATTTTTAAATAAATCTACAAATGCTACAGTTTTTACTTTGATTATATTTTAAAATAAGCTCATGGATGCACTCATGAATACATTTATTCATTCATGATTACACAGATAACATTAAAAAATAACATAATAAAAAGTTGTTTGCAAATAAATTAAATAGATCTTTATAATATATATAGCAAATTAAGCATATGCAGAAATTCTCGAGTAACAAGAAAAAACTCTGTTAAATATTAAAAAATTAAATTCCTTTAAACCTGTACTAATAGTACGAAAAATACAGCCATTTCAAACTCAATAAGGTATAGAGGAATATATATTTGAAAAATTTTATTTTAACTTATTTATTGGATGCGATTATGCTTCCCAAATATAATATTCTAATGTTACTTAATTCTTGACTATCCGTGGGATAACTCTCCAAAAATCTATTGTTTGACCAACTTTTTTTTATTAAAAGTCAAATAAACCCTAAATTAATTCATTGCGACTATTTTCCTTCAGAACATTTGGTCTAGTTTATAAGCTTTCCTTAAACAACTTTTTAGGTAAATATTGCGTTTTTATTCAGAAATCAATTGGAATCTGATGTAACTATTTTAAGTTAAAACATTTTTAGTATTCAAACTCATTGAAATCTATTAATAAACATTTTTTTTTAAATAAAAGTCAAGAACTGACTAAATGTGACGTATTTTTGAAATGACATAAAAGTTTTGCTAATGCGAGTAGTTTTCCAGCGCTGGCGAGCTACGCCTGACATTTGACTGTCAAATATGTAAATGAAAATCATCATTTAACAATTCATTATCCCATTACCACGGCGACAGGCCGCATGTGTGGCCCCACACAGAGTCAGGTTCCCAATGGATAACGCCCCGAAAAAAAAAACAGCCCGCCCGACCGTCTGAGCCAACCGAACAGACTAACCAGACTGATGACCGTCGAGTGCACAGTTCGCGCGCGGCAAAAAGTTTTTAATTAGCTGATTTAGTAAATACGAGCGCGAATTACATTTGAGAATCCCTTGTTCCCCCCTTATTCCACACAGATAGGGGCAGCCACACTTCAGCGGTTTCTCTGGAACATGCGTGGAATCTGCGTTTTAACTGAAAGACAAGTCGAGTCGAGAGGCGATTTGTTTCATTTCACATTTTGCTATAAATGTAAATAAATAAATTTCATTTGCACTATCTTTCAACTGGCAAGAGCCCCCCTCTCGACTCTAAAGTGTGGCATAAATTTTCTGCCTGCTCGCCTGTCAACGACATTCTGTCCACTTTGCCCCGTTTCGGGACGTGCGCGTGACATGCTTTTAATTATTTAAATAACGCAAAATTTCAATTAAATATTAATTAGTTTATTATTTATTTTTTCTTTTGCTATTTGCGCAGGCGGCCAATACACGGCAAATGTTACAGAAATCGCCGGCTATCGCAGCTCCATGAAGCTGCACATAAATCCGCTGTCGCAGGCGGAATTTGGCGCATATCGCTGTGTGGCCAAGAACTCACTGGGCGATACAGATGGCACCATCAAGCTATATAGTGAGTAGAGCTCAAAACTGAAATGATTTTAGGCATAGCTAATTTGCTAACTGACACTTCATAGGAATACCACCAAATGCCGTCAACTATGTGGAGAACTTTGAGGCGCGACACAAAGGTGAGTCAAGACAAAACAGCTAAGCGAAAGGCATTTATGCTTTAATGCCAGGTATTAAAGTTTTTTCGAAACATATCTTAAATGAAGGCCAATAATATTTATAGTACGACAATTAATGGAGACTTGTTTGGTATAAATATTAATACATAAATATATAAAGTTGGCCGGCGAATGTGACTTATTTCCATTATATATTGAATAGCTCCCGTTTCCATCGTCAGCAGATTCTGCTAACGCAGCCTTAACTTGTTCAGAATTGCAAGCAAATTTTATATAACAATTTGTTTTTCTTTAAGCTTTACCAGAGTATATTGAATATCTCCTTCACTTAATTCAACCATTAACTAACTAGTTTCTAAGGTCCCTCGACTTTACCCTGAATATATATGGTATTCACTTCTCAGCAAAGCCCGTTACTAGTATTAGAAAGCTGAGCTCCAAACATCGCACATTACAACAAGCCCTTGAGATCTATGGAAAGCCAAAGTCTAAGAGAGTTGGGGGTGAGAGCAGGCGCGAGAAAAGCGAGATTTAATAGCCACTCGGCATAAATTTAAGATGAGCGGCAAATATTTCACTTTGCCCGGCTGGCATCATAAAAAACAGAAATGGAGAAGAGAAAAAAAAAATGAAAAAAACAAACCGAGCTGGGAGAAAAAGCATAAATAATTCATTTGGCATGCAAATCCGTTTCGAATCGTCAACGCCACGAAACAGGTGAAGCAGTCAGCCAGGCAGCTTAGGGGGCGCTGGGCAAAGGAAATGGAAATGAAAAAGCAACAAACTTGCGACAAGTCTTTTATAAATATGCATTAGGCATAAACTAGTATTAGAAACAGCAGGGCAAATACTTTTGAAAGCCGCCAAAAATTTAATCGCAATACCTTTTCACCATTTCCCACACACCAAAAAAAAAAAAAAAAAAAAAACCAGGTAAAAAGCGCACGAAAAGCTCGGAAATGTATCATTCGTCGAGGGCGCAGGAGCACAGCGGCGAGGACGCCGAGAATCCCGGTAAGCGAAAAGGTAAGCCAAGTCAATGTGCTCATCTCTCCCCCTCTCTCTCGCACTGGCTCGGTTCCGGTTCCGGGTGTGCAACGCACCGATTAGGGTTACGGGCCATATTTCAAGCATTTATGGTCGAGAGGCCAGAGCCCAGTCCCCAGTCCCCAGGCTACGGGCTTAACAGGCCACTTGAGACGGGGATAAAGAAAGAAAAAGTAAACTAGGGACATTGTCGAGCTGAACGCTTTTCGCCGCATGTTTAACAGATTTTCACACTAATTTGCGAGCCGCAAGACCAATAAAAAGGAAATCCAAAAGAAAATTTGAAGAGGGAAAAGGTTGTGCAAATACAAAGGGAAGAAAAAAACTGTAGCATACTTTTTAGGGGCAGGTAAAAGTTTTTTCGCTAGCACAGAGCCACATAATTGTATATCAATAAACACGCTCGGTTTGGCTTCAGGGCAATTTAATGATTTGTAAATACTTGGCCACAATCATAAATAAATTCTATTGTGTCCCCCAAAAATGGAGACGTGGCCAAGAGTAGGAGGCAGTAAAGTGCTCGAAAGTTCTTTTCTATTTTTATAGCCTAATTGAGTTGTGTGTATTTGAATGCAAGTTCAGAAATAAAATTAATTGTGGGTTTGCTCAGCGAGGTCTAGGCTTAAATAGAATGGAAGTTCTTAAAATTGACCATGACAAGACTTTAGCAGAGTCAAAGTGAGCTCAGTCCAGTTTGCCCTCGACTCGGTTTAACCGAGGCCCTTTCATTGGGAAGCCGCAGGAAGCCATTTTCATATGGATAGAAGCTAAAATATAAGAATCATTAAGCTCTGCCTCAAGGCATGGATAATGTCTAGCTTCTGTGTATTGGCTTAGAGAGATTTGATAGAGAGTAGAAGAGAGATTGTGGCTGCCAGGAAAACGGAAGCTAGTTTTGCCCAGACTGGCTCTATGTCCGCCTCGTTATAAAAATCTCTGCAGAAGTCATTCTAGAGGCGGGTCTGGAAGTAAGATACCAGTCAGTATCTAGTCATAGCAGCAACTACAGCTGTGTAACAAGTTTTTGGCAGCGACTCGACCAATTTTGACCTTCTGACTCTTAAGCTCTGATTGCTTAAGCGTGTGATAAATCTTCTCTAGCATCAGCTCTCAGCAGAGTCTTGTCAGCCGCCAGTTAACGTAAGCAGCGCCCAGCTAATCACTACAACTGTCCCGCCCACAGTTTAGCCAATTTCCGCCGTTCAACCCGCCAAGTCCATTAACATTTTCCACAATTTTCCCCCCAAAACCTGCCGCAGCTGATTTGAGTCTTAGTGCGGAGAGCATTGACAGCATATATGGATCATCGGCAGCTGCGCTGCGGCTAACCAGAAAATCTGGACGAGTCTCCCTCAGCTGTCTGCTGCCCACCCTGCTGCTGCTGCTTTGGATGATGAGGACGACATTGACGAGGCAACTGGGAAAAACTCAACTGGCATTGTTGACACAAACACTGACACATGTTTGACACAGACGCGAAGCGCCAACAGAGATTAGACAGCAGCAACAGCAGCAGAAGATGGAGCTGGCGCTGAAGCTGAAGCCGGAGCTGGAGCTGGAGCTGGAATTGGAGGCGATGGCAATGCGATGATGGTGCTTGGGCTTGATTGAGTTTGTCAATGCCAAAAGCTGGTGCTGATTTATGGCACGTGGCTTAGTTAAAGTTGAACGATAAAAAAAAGCATATATCATAAATAAGTACGTATATTGTGTAGCTACTAAATATTAAGTCAACCAGGCTTCCTAATCCCTACGCGTGCATGTTCAAGCTGTTGAATCTTAGCATAAGTTTAGCTTAAACTGAGAATTATGTAATATATACATATATTTAAAAATCAGAAGCAAATATATATATGATAATGCAAAGGCAAATCGTATGGCACATGTACATAAACGTACAGCAAAGCGGTTTTTTTTAGATTTTAGGTGTAAATTTGTATTAAGCCATGTGGACATAATTGAAGAGACTGTATGTGTGCAAAGTAACATTTAATTGCGGCTAAATTGAATGTTTAATTATTATTGTATTCGATTAGGGCAACTAATTTTAAGGCAAAGCAACATTTAATTATAACTGGAGCGGTCTGAGAGCTGAATATAATGCAATTCAAATATGCGACGCAAGTCGAAACATAACGAAAATAATCAACAACAAAAATATAGCAAAAGTTTACGTAGCACATGCTCAGCAGCTGGCTGTGTATGTGGCATATACCAAAAAAAAAAAATAAACATACTATATATACCAAAAGAAATATTCAGTAAATATTCAAATCAAGTTTTCGTTAGTTTCCATTAAGTTCTACTCTTCAGCTTCCCAGCTCAACATCCGTTCCAAGTCAACAAAGCATTATTATACACACTAAATATTAAATTTATAAAAAAAAAAACTTCATACATATCATTTACTTAATATAAAAATCACGAAATAAAACGTATATATCGTGTTAATTATTTGTTTGGCAAGCAATTAGGAATTTCAAATATAAATAAACTTGACATATATATAAAAAACAAATTTAATACAGTAAAATACATATACAAGCGAAGTATATTAAAAGAACAAATATCATAAAAAATAAAGCAAACCCTGAAGCTATGCAGCTTAAATATATTTAAATTTAAAGCGAGTATTTAAACAATTAATAAACAAAACAAAAATTGCATATTTATTTATAGCTTACAAAAAAATGTATATTAAAGATTAATGAAAAGGAAAACGTAAAAAAATTGTTATATAAAAAGCAAATAAATTGAGTTAAATATATATATATACGCATAGCTACTCATTGTATATTTAAGCAACACATGTAAATGGCAAATCGACAGGAATATTTATAAAATAAATCAACTTTAAAGAGTTAAGCTTTGTTTCGTTCTGGGGGCAAAATGTGGGCTTATCGCAGTATATATTATACATAATACTTAGTTATACAAAACGAAACGAAAGGTGGCTGCCTTGATTTGCTTTCGCAGTCCATCAAAATGCCAACCAGGCGCATAAATTTGAAATATATCCCAGCGAGTGCTAAAAAATCAAATTAAAACAAGCAACAAATGCGAAATAAAACCAAAATTCTTTCATTAAGAACTCTTTAAGTGCAGGCCAGCACGCAAAAATACCAAAAAACGTGAAAGTAAGGATACATTCGGCACGCCGCAGATTTAATACCCTTGCAGACAAATATCTTTTGCATATATATATATATATGAGCATAGGAAGTGCTGAGCTTGAAATATATACACATATATATAACTGAGAGACTAATTCGCATCGAAACGAACAGACGCATGGCTCTATCAGCTCGGCTTTTGATGCTGGCCTGGAATATAAAGTATATACTATGCGTTACACATTTCCTGACAAAATTATAATACCCTCTTGAAGGGTATGAAAAACCAACAGAGTCAAAAAACTCTTCAAGCCCGCAGCTAATAAAAACTCGAGCACTTTGAGTGTGTATGCGTGTATGTGTGTGTATATTACGAGTAGTTTTTATTACATTTGTTTCCAGGAATTTTCAAACATGCCAAAACAGCTGCAACCACAGTAGACGCCAAATGCCCAACAAACCACCGACCAGCCCCCCCAACTGTCCGGAACTTGAACCACCTGAGCGGGTTACGTGCAATGTTTTTGTTAACCCTTCGGAGCCAACGCGTTTTTACTCCATTTTCATAGAGCATTTTTTGAGGTCATGTGTATCTGTGCGCCTGTGTGTGTGTGCGTGGAGTATTACGATCTATGTATAATATCTGTCAGTTGATTTTGCATGCAATACATATAAATCTCAAGGTTATAATGTAGTAAATATGCATCATAGATGCATGCATGGCTTACTGAAGCGCTTTTCCAGTTCAGAATGCCCGTACACGGCTCGGCCTGACCCGTATAATGTGCATTTTAATAATGTCAAACTACTGTGGGGCATTAAGCCTTGTTTCCTGATTGCAAAGTGCAAAAAGAGAAAATAAATTAAAATAAAATACAAAAAATTGAGCAGAGCAGAAAATACGCAAAGAGATCGATTTTTTATTTCGCATGAGGTATCAAGCGATTTAAACAGTGAATGAAAAATTCAACTCTGATGTGCAATTACGTGCTGGTTTTTCATTTGGGAAATCCTCACTCTTTTTTTTTCACTGAAATTAAATTTTACATTCGCGTAATGAACACGATTCAATTTCCAGCTCGTAAAAATGTATAATAAATATAAATTCGAATTTTTCTAAGCGAATCTTTGTTAACTGAAAAGCTGAGATTGTGAAAGAATATGGAGTATATTGTCCAAGTCCAGCAGGTTACGCGGTTTTTCATATAAATAATAAAAGGGTTAAGAATAATAAAAATAAAAATAAATTTAAAAAATAATAATACGAATAATAATAATAATATAAGAAATAATGCTAACATTTATACTTACAATAATAATAACAATAATAATAATATTTAATGCTAATGCTAATAATAATGATAATAATAATGAAGGCCGTGAATTTTGAATAAAAATAAAATAAATAAAAAAATTATTTATAAATTGTAAGATTATTTTTATTAATAATAAAGTTATAATAATAGGCAGTGTAATAATATTTTAAGACATAAATTTATTTATTGTTGTTCTGAATAAAATATTGTTTGATTTGCTTAGACTTAATCCACTTTAATGACAATTTAAGAAACCTTTAATTTCCAAATTCAGAAAAAGGGCACATAATATTACAAAACAAAAAAGAGGCACGAACTTTATTCAATTACTAAGAAATGTAACCTGACCTCGGGTCGCTTTGTATTAATTGCTAGCTGTGCGCTTCTCACCTGAAATTCAATTAACAACCAGCCAGGAATTATATAACAAATTTGCCGAACAGAACAAAATTTTTAGATACGCTGCGAGGTATGAATAAAAAATTAACATAATTACATAAAAATGTGCCAAAAGGTAAAAACAACAATCCAAAAAGGTGGAAGGACAAAAAGAGGGAATTGCGGAATGGAAGCAACTGGCGACAGCTGGCAGCTCTGCACACAATTAACATTACTTAAATACACATTAAGGTTAAAGACGCGCAATTTTTTCATGTTCTGGGGCTATTTTTTCTTGGCCAACTTGTTTATCAGAATTTTCGGGCTGCCAAGTCTGAAGGGGAGTCACAAAAAAATTGCGTGACGCGGCAAACAAAAACATTCGAACAATCTGGAGAACAAAAAAAAAAAAAAAGAAATAAAATGCCATTTTCGGCACGCCGAACATTAAATACCCTTGTCTTAGAAGTGCCCCAATATAGATATGCCGTGTTTCTGAAAGACAACTATTTCGAAGCCAGATAATGTGATAGTCAAATTTGATGCGGGGGCTTGGCGAACATATCTCGAAAACAGATAAGTTTACCAAGTTGTTTTCCCATTTTTCCAATATTAAATAGTAGCCAGATGCTGTAGATATAAAATTGAAGAGAATATCAAAAACAAATATCAAGATGAAGAGATCTTCAAAAACATAAAAGTTTCTCATACTACTTAGTTTTTTGGCGATATTCCTAGGGTAGCTATACGATATAATCGATTCGATGGTAATGAGATTTTCTATAGACGCAGTTGCTGATTCTGCTCAAGATTATAAACATATATTTTATGTAGCAACATATATTAAATTTGAATAAAGATATGCGCTACAAACTTTGCACCCAAGTTGTTATACCCTCTGCGAGGGTATACAAAGTGAAAACTGCCAAAACTCGTGCTGAAATCGAAAAGCGTCGTGACGTTAGGACGGAAGGGCAATGAAAATAAACACAGTAATTAAGTTAATGAGCATTTTGAGATTTATTATTAATTTTCTTTGTGCCTGGCCACCCTTCGAGGCAAATCATTTCGCATTTTTTGTGGTTATTTATTATAATTGTTGTGCGCTTTTGTAAATGTTGTTATTGTCGTTGACTGCTTCTGATTTGCATTTAAAAAAGCGCAAATTCGCGTTAATTCATGTACATTTTGTTCTTATTGTTTTTGATTATTTTTGCCAAAATGCAGGACACACATCCTTAATTGCTATTTAAATGCTTGAAAATTATTTTAAATGCGCCGGCTAAACGTTGAGTTTCTTAAAGCCTTCATTAGTTTGCGGCCATTCGCAAATTGTTTTTTAATTTATAGCCGCCCATAAAAAACAACACACACACACACACACACACACACACACACGCATTCTAGAGGCGCAGCAGACACATTAACATTTTGGCATTGTCATTGCTGTGATTATGGCATCATATGAGCACACATGAGCTAAGCCCCCCCTCGTACGGCCCATTAGCTATTTGTTCTTAGCTCTCTGTCGTGCTTACATTTTACGATGGCACATTAAAGTTTATAGCCCAGGAAAAAGAAAATGCAAACAGGAACACGACACAACAAAATGCTAAATTGTAAATAAATCGTAATTGGGCAGGCGCCGAAAGGCAGGCATTGAAAATGAAAATTGTTTTAATATGGACAAAGGAAAGCGGAATTATCAATAAAGTGCAAGGCACAGAAAGAGAACATAAGAGCATTAGGTGGAAAATTTGAACAAGTTGGCAAAATATTAAAAAAAGGATTAACTACAGTAATATCATAAACAAAATAAACCGAGCCCTGCAATAAAACTAAGCTGCCAAGCTATTAGCTAAGCAACTAAACAACCAGGAGATACCCTATACCCTGCCCTAATTCAAACTATCTTTTACAATATAGAAATAACATAGCATAATAAATATAAAACTAAGCTGCAATAAAACGACTAGAAGTTACCCTGTACCCTGCGTTAAGCTGCATATTGTAAATTATTATAAAAATTTTCTTATAAATAAAGATATATAGAAATAAGATGTGTATAATAGGTAGGGAATTGATATAAGAGTAAGAAGCAATTAAGCGACTAGAAGATACCCTGTAAAAAATATGTTCTCTAGAGCACTCAAAACACACACATTTGCTGTTTAATTGTTAATATATAGTCAAAAAAAAGTAGATATAAACATCGATTTTTATCGATTTCGTGACTAAGCAAGTTATCGATCATTTTAATCAAAGTTGCTCCGCCCGTGAAATAGTAAAACTCAAAACTCTGACTCCCATATATCGATAATTCAAACGACAATTGATCCGCAAGTAAAATATCAAGAGGTAAGTCCCAAAATGTAAATCTTATACTTTCGGGCGCCTAGACAGACACGCAAACAGAGCAAGAATATATACACTTCATGGGCAGAAGAAGCATACAACTGCCTGTTACATGCCGTGCAACAAAATAAAAATACCCCTTTTACCACTTACGTTTGAATACAGGGTATAATAAAGAAATATTTTAAAAATATATTTTACTAAATCCCACCATAGCTATATCAAGAATTTTGTTAAATGCTAGGCTTAAATAAAGCATAAGCAGATTTTAAATATGCGCACTGTGAACATAAAAGAAATTATTTAAAGCAGAAAGAGCCACAATAATGATAATGATGAGGCATAGAAAGCGATTAACAGCACACGGCACATGTAAACAAATTGCCGAAACACAACAAACAAGGACGATACACTAATCACCTGTTAGGGTGGAAGGAGCAGGGCCTTGGCCATACACTTGTTATAAATTAGCTTTGAGCCCATATATAATCAGGCGTGGACTTCGGTCTCTCAACATGTAAACAAAACTACAATTAATCAAAGATTTTACTTGCTGGCTGAACTTTATTACACGCAGCTTTGCTTAATTGCATAAATAAAAGTCTGACGTGTGGCAGGAAAAAGAAAAACCTTAATTAGGCCGCCGCCCAGATGCAAACCCAGACTCAAGCTTAAACTCCCCATGGAGCTGACAAATAAATAATAAAAACACAAATTGACACACAAATGGGCACAGGGAAAATGGGGTAAATATAGCAAACTGTTCACAATAGACAGGCACAAACTGCTAAACAAGGAAGTGCAACTAGCTCTCGGACGGCGAAATGTTGTAGGGGGCAGAAAAAGCCATTAAAAGGCAAGGCTAAAGGTTATCGTATTGTCAGAGTGGCCCAGCCTGGGTTTAGGTATTTGTGTGTGCGTGTGTGCGCGTGGTGTGTGTGCGTGGTGTGTATGCTCCTCTTAAGGGTCGCAAACTCAGGCTTCTATTAATAATCTGCGCAGCAGGGAGGCAGAGTTGAAAATATCCACTTATATGAAATGTCCGAGGTTTGTAATTAAAACGATTATAATTGTTATGGCCGGGACATATACACTGTGCAAAAGTTTCGAAGTGTTTGTTTCATGGTTCAAAGCGAAACTCTCAAGAGTGAGAATAATACAATCTCAAAAATTCGAGCTAATCGTTTTTAAGTTCATCTCATACATCCGCAAGCGCAGGTTTACTCGAACACGCTCGACTGAATCGAGCAGGTCGAACTTCAAGTTCGATGAATCGTTTATTCTGCTAAGCGCAATAATCGAAGGCTCGAGTCTTGTTTTATTTACTTTAATAATTAAATCGATGCAGGGCTTGCAGCTTGCAGCTCCTAAAAGGACGTGTGTACAACTTTTGAACTTTTGTGACTTAATTCTTTTAAACAAATATATATATATCTATTCATATACATATATACAAAATGCATATGTATATAAATATGCATATAAATATACAGAAAAAAATCTACAAGTTCAAAAGTTACGCATCAATCCAAAATATTGATCGTTAAAGCATTTAATAGCCAATAAGACTCGTAACCTTTAAAGCTCTAAAAAATTGATCTTTGCAATTGATGGTTTATTGAAACATCGGCGCTCAAAATGAAGTAAGCCATCCAATATACCAGTAAACAAATATATCTATATGCATTAGGATCTTTCTTCATTTCTTTTTCTTATTTTTATGCTTTATGTTTTTTTTTTTTTTTGTTGGGTCCAAGATCACCGAGGGGTCGTAAGAGCCAAATGTGTGTTGGAGATTATTGGACCTTTTAATAGAAGATCAGTTTTTGTACTTTTTTTGTTGAGATTTCTTGAAATGCCGATGAAAACGACTAGAGCTCCAATAGAGCTCCCTGCTCAATTGCCGCGTGAGCCATTGGAATCGATATTGGAGACCCACTGAACGGGATTGACATATATATTGGATATGGTGCCACGCAATGTATCGAAGCCCTGATTCAGGGGCACCGGTTTGGGCCGGTTGCCCACCGATTTCATCCAATTCTGCCAGGCGCCCTCGGACTTTTGCTTGCGCTGTTTCTCTAGCTGCTCTTTGCTCTGCTGCTTCTGACGCTGACGTTCACGTTCGCGCTGCTGTTGCTGAGTCTTGACGCGCTCCCATTCCTCCAGGCGCTTCTTGGTGGCCTCTGGGGTTTCCTTGCGTGTCGGCTTGACGCTGCTGCTGCTGGGCGCCATGGCGCTGCCAAAGCTGGAGCTGCTCGAATAACTACTGTAGCTGGCAGTACTCTTGATACTGCCAGTTGCAGTCTTCTTCTGCTGCAGCTCCTTCTGCCTGACCCATTCCTGATAGCGCTCCTTGGCCAGACGCTGACGCATTGCGGTCTCTGCATCACGCTTCTCGCGCTCTTGTTTGGCAGCCTGTTGCTTCTGTTGCTTTTGACGCTCCTTGCGCTTCACCCACTCCTGATAGGCCTCTTGGCCATGTCGTTCCTTCTCCTCGTCCAGATTGCGAAAGTATGTGGACGAGCCCGACGAGGAGGTGGTCGACATATTCAGGCTCAGCGATGGCACAATATTGCTGCGGCTCTCGGAGGGCTTGAGTGCGCCGCCGTACATATCAGTCCAGCTGCAAGTGGATGCCGAGGAGCAATCATCCCGACGTACTGTGGAAGACTTCAAATTGTATGTTCGATTGGTCATCTGGCTCTGTGTATCCGCTTGGTCGTTGTCGTTATCGTTATCGTTATCGTTATCGTTGTCGTTGTCCAGCGAATTGGCCGGGTCCATAAAACGGCAAACGGTGGTGCTATCAACAGAGCCCAGGCTGAGTGCATCCTCGGGATGCAGAGTGGGCCCAAGGCTAGGTGTGACGCTATCGATGGAGCTCGTGCTCTGTGCATCCTCTGGCTGCATATTAGCCGACATGCGCGAATGGCATGCAATGGGGCCATCAAACGAATCCAGACTTAGAGCATCTGGGTGTATCTTTTCATCATCTCGGGGGCTACAAACGGTGTCGCCATCAATCGAATCGAGATCATCTGACTGAAATTTGTCATCGTTGCCTGAATACTGATTCAGATCCCTGCGCTCAACTGCATCATCGCGTGTCTGCATGACGGTCTCCTCATCGCTGGCGACATCCAATTGATAATCACTCTCAGCGCCAACATCATTATCCCCATTATTTGTATTCTTGCCTTTGCAGTTGTCATAGCGATCTACATCAAAGCTCGCCACTGATTCGAGATCAGAGTCCAAATTGTTGGCACCACGACCACGAGTGCCGTCAAATGTGTAACAGCTCTCGAGGTCATCGTCCTCCTCTTTAGACGCCACATAGCGTACAGTGGGCGATACATAGGAGCGATTACTGTAGCCTTGCACTGTACCAGAATCAGTATCCTCGTCACTTAAATCGGACATGGGCATTGAGCTAGTGCCCAGTCCAGAAATCACCTGACAATCGACCAACTTGCCCTCAGTATTGCGACGAGCTACGAAGGCCATTCTTCAAAGACAGCAACGTGTTCTGTGGAAGAGCTGAAGAATTGGTTTAGTACAAGGATTTTATATTTTTTTAATGTTCTTTTTGTTTTGTTTATGTCTATGTTTGTTGATTGTTTCCAGTCATTTGTGTTACGAGCCCCATCAACTCTGAAGTGAATAACTGATCAACGCCTACTAGAAGCAGAGGGCAGAGAGGGGAAACGAGTAGAATACGCAATGTTTGCTTTGTTAAAAATTAATATAAACTATCTAAGAAGCCCATAACGATTAACTAAGAATTTTTTTCAATCAAGAAAAGTTGTGGCTTAGTGTCGAACTAGTAAGCGGAAAGTCGCTGTTTCAAGATAAGTTTGGCGTATTGAGTGTACCCACATATTTATTTGTACCCTTGTACAGAACAATATTATTGCTACACTTTAATAATAGTAGCAATAATAAATATGTTAATAGTGGCTTTATATATAATTCAACAATAAGAGATCAGTTTTTGCCAGTGTAACGACAAATTCGCTCTCTGAAGCAAAATGAAAACATTTTAACTAATGACAAACAATTACTTAAACAACGAGTCGAACGAGTGGCACACACGACGACAGCAAAAGGTAATTAAAACTACACTACACACACACGCACACACACACATGGGACTACACCCTGCTCGAAGTGTGTGTGTGGTTGAATGTGTGCGTCTGTGTGGGTGTTCAAGCGAAAAGTTGCCGACTCAAAAATCGTTTGTTGTGTGCGAATGGCTGTTGTTGTCGTTGTTCTTGTCTGTAGGTTGTCTGTTACCTGGCACAGTTAATGAGTAGCGCTTTCATTTTTAATGAGACTCACCCACACACACACACACACAGGCATGCACACATATCAGATGCACACACACACACACACACACACACACACAGACGAGCCGTAGTAAGGTGTAATAAAAAACTTATCGCTGCTCGCTTTTAGGCGCCCATGAGCGGCATTTGATAGACATAATTAAATGTTTTTTTATATGCTTAATTGTTGTATCTTGCACCGACATCGGCCTTATTAAAACAAAAAACAATTAAGTGGCCTTTTCTACGACCTGCAAATGACTTGTCAAATGAGCGACAGGCAATGTCTGGCTGCTTGTCGGATTTTCCGCTTTCTTGGTAAAGATTACATATACATGCGTGTGTCTGATATTATTGCCCGGCAGTTTGTTGCGACTGGGTTGGGCTGCGCGATGGGCCAGGCAGTTTTAAAACTGAAGCATAAAGCCAGCTTGGCAAAGCTAAGCGGGTGGAAAATGTAACTACACTCTCTACTGACACATAATTGGAAATTAGTTCAAGCAATTGAGAGTCCGGGCTGAAATTCTAGGATATTGTATCCATGCTTGGATTGTCCATTGTCTATGAATAGCCATATACGTATCCACTTTTTATACCCTTGCAGAGGGTATTATAATTTTGTCGTGAAATGTGTAACGCATAGAAGGAGACATCTCCGACCCCATAAAGTATATATATTCTTGATCAGCATCAACTGCCGAGTCGATAGAGCCATGTCCGTCTGTCCGTCTGTCTGTTTCTATGCGAACTGGTCTCTCAGTTTTAAAGCTATCTTAATGAAATTTTGCAGAAGTCCGTCTTTCTGTTGCACGCAGCACATATGTGTAAACCAGCTGGATCGGACCACTATATCATATAGCTGCCATAGGAACGATCGGTCGAAAATTAAGTTTTTGTATGAAAAAACATTTTGCTTTTTAAGATATCTTGCCCAAACTCGGCATTAACTATTTTCCCTGTGCTTTTTAGATACGGGGAAAGCAGTATAAGCATTATGAAAAGGTTGGGTCTGCAAGGGTATTAGATCTTCGGCGTGCCGAAGATAGCCTTTTTTTCTCGTTTATATGTAACTCTGGTACGGCCTATTCTTGATTATACCTCATGTGTCTGGTCGCCACAATATTCCATTTACCAAAAAAGAATTGAATCTGTACAGACACAGAAACGGGGAGTAAACTGAGATCCTCGCGTGCTGTTTCTGTAATACTCCAATAGACTTCAGATAATTAATCTGCCTTCGTAGAACTATGCTTATTTACAAGTTATTTATGGTTGAAACCGATTTTCTGGGTTGACTAGCCACTTACAACATCTTTAAATAGTTTTTCCCGTAAATTGTGTCAGACTCATCTAATCAAGTTTTCCGCACATTTTCAGCATATAAAATGGATATTCAAGAATGCATTAAATATATTTCAATTATATATTGATTTTAAATGTATATAAGACCGAATGGACATCTAACAAAGACCTGTGATTTAATCTCCCTTAATGTTTTTAATACAAAAGTTTACATCAAATCGATGCGTGTGATGCATGGAAAATATTATTTAATATGTGTATTATTATTTAATACTATCATGCGTTTAGTTTAATTTAAAACTGCGCCTAAATTATAAGCCAAAACATATTTAAGCCGATTTTAGTTGTAAGCTACTTATATAAAAACATTTTATATTATAATTATTTTTTTTTAAAATAGGCTTTGCTATCCGATTTATTTTTGCAGTAATGTCACCCTTTCAAGGTTGCAGCTTACTGCATATAAAAAAGGAGATAAAATCCGCCAAAAAATTAATAAAAGCTAAACATATGAAATCGAAATGCAGGCATGCGTTCCTTTCAGCAGTAAGCTCTACTGCTGATAGTTGGCACAATTTATATTTTTAATTCAGAGAAAGAAACAAAATTTGTTCAATTAAAGTTGAGGCAGTATTAAAGGTCATTTGCTTGTAAGTGAACAATTCTCAATTCTTGCTTTAAGCATTTCTAATTGAATCGAACACACTGCTACAAGGTCTGAGAACGAAGGCAGCTGCGGTTAGCTAGGAGAAAGCTGTTGCAATAGAGTGAGTTGTAAATTTAAAAGCAGCAACAACAGCCGAATGCAGGCAAAGAGTGCGAAATAAATTAAATATTTAGGCAACAAGACTATGACATAGTTGAGTCCAAAATGACTGGCGCTTTAAGCTCAATCGATAGACAGCAGGAAGGGCTAGAGATTAACGAAAAATTCCAATTAAATTTTATCAACTAAACGAAATATTTGTTGGTCCCAAGCAGCGAAAACTGAAATGCAACTAAAACAACAAATGTGTGGCAAACAGCTTGCGGTCCTTTGAAGCACTGTGCTCCTTTAAAAACAAAAGCCATTAAGAATCCAGTTGAGCGGAGGCCAACAGGGCCAACAGGTTGTTATTTTCGTTTCGATTACATATTTCATGCACGCACTCAAATCACTTTTCATTTTTTTTAATTATATTTCCATTTCGCATAAAATTGATTATTATTATTATTTTTTATTTTATTTATTTTTGTTTTTTTTTATTGTTTCGAGTATTGACATTGCCATTGATTATTATTGCCGTTACGTTGTTTGGCCTGGCGTACGTTTAATTAAAAACGTGACAATTTTACCTGTGGCCAATGCGATACATATTTCATCACGCATACGCCCGGTGCGTGTGTGCTTGTGTGTGTGTGTGTGTGTGTGTGTGTGTGTGTTTGTGTGTTTGTGTGTGCGTGTGCCCAGAGCAAGTTTGCGGTCGCGGTCCTTTTATTTAAATATATAATTCAAAGCCTGTTTACAATATGCGCAACTCGTTTGCATTACAATTCACTTTCGCTTGCCCGCCAATTTAATTAACTTTCATAAAATTCAGGCCTGTTGATGTGGGCCCCATCATCATCATTACAAAATCAATGAACTGTAAGCCGAAATGTCACAACTGTTGGGATTATCTGTCCGCATAGGCTGCGAATTAAAGCATTATTTTTCGCAATTATAATCAACTCAGCTGTTTGACATTCGCAATCAAATGTCAGAACAATCGGCAGAATATGCCAACAAAAGGAAACTCTTTGACAAGACCAAACGGAAACTTTGCTCAATTGTTGCTTGAAAACATAAAATTAAGCTCGGTTTTCTTATCGTAGATCACGTAAGACTGGCTGCCTACCACCCTCTATTTAATTAATTCATAATAAAAGCATAGAAATAAGAGAAGGTCAGGTAAAAATATTTGCAAACAGAACAATCATGAAAAGCAGCCTGATTTTAAGCAGTTGCCAGCTTGTTTCCCTGAACTTGAATCTAATTGAAAATCTCTGCTGGCAGGCATAAATTTCCATCAGTAGAGAAGCTTCTATGGAATATATAGATAGATCAAATGAATGAACCCAATAAGTATTCGCCTACACGCATTGTAAGAAGGTAACAAATCTAAACTTAGGGCTGGTCTCGTTAATTTTACTTCACTTTTTCTCTTTTTCGATAACCAAGAAATTAGGTTTTATGTTATTTTCTCGCCTTTTCGTTGGGTTGTATTGAGTATGTTTCTCTTATGCCCAAGAAAAAAATGCCATTTAATCTGAGATAAAATTAGGAAACAATATCTAAATAAGTAAAATATGAGTTTGCATAATAAAATAATATTAAAAATATTCTATTCTAGTAATATCTACATTTCTCATTTGCTTTACGTATCCCATTTAATTAAAATATGAAATGATAATAATCACGGCTTTTAACATTCCATTTAAATATAGATTTGAATATTCCATTTAAGTAAAATTTTCAATGGAATATTTAAATAAATATTGTTTGTAATATTCCAATAAAGAAAACTAGCTAATAGAATATACAAATATTGTTTTCAGATACAAATATCTCTCACACACTTCCGACTTTAAATGGAGGTTGACAAATGAGTCCATTTTAAATTTCTCTAAGTGTATGTACAAACAGAAACTTATCGAATTAGACTTTGTCCATTTAGAGCTAGCCATTGAATTTGATACATGAATGAATTTGATATGGTTATAAATTTATGTAATAAAACTTATCTTTGACTTACCGGAAATAGTGGTATTGTTTATCCCGTTGTGGAGACTCTCGTGTCGTACAAACGTTTCCGTTTTATATATATATATATATATAAATATATATTTTTGTTGAAAATAAAAATGTCTACAACTACGTGTGGATAATGTCAGTTGAATAATAAGCCTGGCCTACTTATAGATATTAACAATATGAAATATATGCCATGGGAAATCGATTGGTTTTCCAGTGCTGCAAATTGGATTAAAGCTTTTTGCGACTTTAGTCAAGTCAAAGATCACACAGTTAATTAGGCAAACAAACTTCAAGTACCAAAGTGCCGAGAAGTCCTTTAAAAGTCTTTCAATCAGCAGATTCCATCTCAGACCGCACAGAAAAATCCTTGCGCATTGGCACCTCAGCCAAAAACGAATTGAAGACAACAACTCAACTTCAGTCAGGCCACAAACAAATCAGTTAAGTGCCCAGAAAAAAAAAACGCAGCTAAGAAATGGAAGACGCGACAACTTTGACCAAAAACGGCATGGAATAAGGTAAGTCAATTTGCCTAATTGACTTATGGCCACGCAGAAAGCTTGACAGTTGCATCTTGTTGCTGGGCAACTCTCAAGTGGTTGATTTTAATTTGCCGATGCTGATGCTGTGTGTCGAGTTAAAGTTACCGATTGGGTTACAGATACAAAGCTAAATGCAGATACAACTTAATTAAGCGCTGAACAAAATTGAGCCAAATTTAATAAGAAATATTTAAATCGCATGAGGCTTTGTTAAGCCTTTTACTGAATTTAGAAATATGTAAAAAGTCAAGTTTGTAAAGATTGTATTTCATAAACTAAAATCAGCGACTGTTGAGTTGAGATTCGCATCATTTCTTATATTTTCCTGCAGTATATATATTTTTTTAATTTAATAAATAGTAGTTTTAGTCTGAACTAAGGCATTTTTAAACTAGCATATTGCATGCAGCTAGTATAGAAACATTCTGCGCATTAAGATCTTAATTAACTCAAATTGAAAGCGAGCGAATGTTCGCAAGTCATCATTTGCGTGCCTAATTGTTGGCAATTGCCATACAGCTCTGGCATTCATAATGCTGTGTACTATAACAAATAAATATACATATATATAGTACATATAATATTGTTGTCAAATGCGTTATGAACTTTTAATGGTTCAACAAACTTGCAGCCACTAAAACTTTAAAGCGGCAACCGTCGGCCAGCCGAAACCGGTGACAACCTACAAAGTTGGCCATACACAGAGGCAACGATAACTTTGCCGTAGCTTGTTAAATAAACTTGTTTGTGAGCCCAATGTCGCTCACATGTTTGTTGCACATTTCCGCTTACGTGAATATATTAATTACCAAAATTTCATTGCCTAAGCGTGGGGGCCGTGCAGCTTGCGTGGGCCGGAATGTAGTAGGGAGGTGGGCAAAGCTTGTCGGCAATTCAATTAGTGGGCTACTTGCATTTATCCAATTTTAATGCTGCATACTTTCAGGTGTACACACACACACACACATACACACACCCAAAGGCAGCTATAGTAGGTGTGTTAGTGTGTGTGCGTGCGTGTGTGTCGTCGTTATGGCAACGACTCGAGCAGGACTCGAAGGACTCGAATGAGCTCGTGACTTATGCACTGACGCAACCAATTATGGCCTGGGGGGCAACTGTAACTGCAACAGTTTGTGTGTGCCTGTGTGAGTGTGTGTGGGTGTGCGTGTGTGTGCGCCCGTGTCAGTGGATAGCTTAACGTGCTTGCATCTTCGTCTGCATCTAAACCTATTTTTGGTTTTACCGCTGCTCGAAAACTATGTCAAATGAAATTTATGCGATGCGCCCAAAAGGCGGCAATGAAAACGAACCAAAACACACACATACACACAGGCCCTCCCACACAAGCACACACATGCAAATAACAAATCTGCGTGAAGTATTTGTGCGCTTTCTCGCTTCCTCCTTTGCCGCCTAGCTGAGGCTCTTATTTGATTGACTACGAGTTGCATACTTTATGGCGTAGCCATCATTGATAAGGCGTCAACGCGTTGCGAGACGCGACGGTGACGGCAATATTTCATCAGCAATTGTTTGAAAAGTTTCTTAATTAAATATGACAGATTACCCAGCCAAGACTTTTGGCCAGCTAATTGAATTTAGCCAAGTTACCGCTGCGAGTGATATGCACAGATTCTTGGAGCTTGTTGCTAAGACATGAGCACAGTTTCGCAACCGTGGACAGAGGGAGAACTTTTTGGCAGAGCGAAAAGCTTTACGACACATCTTTGCTTGAGGACGATTCGAGAAACTTAGAGTTATTTAAAGCCAAAGATCTTGATTAAAAACTTTCGGAGCCCAACTAATTGCTCGCACACAATCCAATTTGTTATTGTAAAACTTATTAAAGCACAAATAAGATATATAAAATAGAATCTCAGGCTTTTCAGACGTCTTTTACGTATACTTTATGTACATTAGGTTCCCCAAGATCCAAAAAAAAAGTTTTGGTAAACTAAAAAATTGGAGAAACTTTTTTAGTCCAACTTTGTTACTTTGTTTAAACATATGTAAAAATTTCCAACAATTATTATTTATTATTTAGGCAACTTAATGAGTTTAATAATAATAAAAGTAATAATAATAATAATAATGTATTAATATAAATTATTATAATAATAAATATAATAATAAATTTACTTCAATGACAATTGAAATAATTAAATCATTTAAAATTGCCAACATTTATATAATACTAATTAAATTATAATAATTATATAACTAAAATATATAACATACAATAACAATAATAGTAATAATAATAATTATGATAATAATGATAATAAAAATAATAATATTGATAATTCTAATAAATTTAATTATAATTGTATTAAGTATCATTTCTGTAAATATTACTATAATAATAATATTTTAATCATAATTAATCGCATTATAATTAAATTTGATTAATTGAAGATGTGAGATCTCAACCTTATTTTATCTTTTTTTATTACATTACTTTCTTCATTTTTTTTCAACATTATTAACATTTAATGTTGAGCTTGTCTGCCTACGCAAGCTCGCACTCACGTTGTCGCATTTTTAATACATTTAATTTGTAATATCTAAAGAGCTTCTCATTAGACCAGCCGCAAATAAGCGAACGGACGAGTCTCCTGTGGTTAAGGCCACACAAGCCAAATGCCAGACAACAGAGAGTTCGAGTGTTCGCTAACAACGTGCCGGCCCACTCTGCTGTTTAGCAAACACTTTGAACAAACTGCTGACAAACATTCTCTGCTCTATTTGCATGCCCTCGAACGTATCTCTGCAACCCTGCAGCATTTCTGTAAGTCCGCAAAAAAAAAATGCTGCTTAAAAAAACCTGAAATAAAACTGATTTCATTACCTTGATTAGTTGGTCTCTTCAAGTCTGCGTGTGTGTGTGGTTGTGTGTGTATGTGTTTGTGTCTGTGAGTCTGAGAGTCAGTTTGTTTGCCTGGCTTTTCAGCGTTTTTCTACACATTTGAAAATCCAACACGGCGCTTATGATGGCAAAGGCAACATGAATGGAAAGTGGGGTTGGCCATCTTTTGGCCTCGCCGTTTTGGGTTCAATGCAAGCATTAACCTCATTAGCATGCAGCTCTGAATGGCGCTCAGAATATATATATATATACAAATATATACATTAAGTAGCTAGCACATGCCCCCAGTTTCCATTTTTAGTTAATCCCTTTAATCTAATGGATTAAATTTAAGAGGGCAATTTGTTTATTTTTTTTTATATATGGTTTTCGTTTACACGATTTTCTTCTTATGAAATTAATAATTAATTAATTTAATTAATATATACCAGTTTTATTAATTAAAAAACATCAATAAACAATTTATTGAGGCCCCTTTTACTGAAGATATTGCAAGTCTTATATATATTCATATAGAAATTGCGGGCTATATTTGAACTCTATCCAACACTGACATTTATCAAACATGGTTAGATTAATGCAAAGGTACTTCATATTTATTAAATATATGAATAAATATTAAATAAAAATAACAGTCCGATGAGATATTGATAGTAGCAAAAAAATACACACCGAGACCAGCAATGCTCTCGAGCTATGCATATCTGCCCCTTCTTACGTGTCAAGTCAATTTGAGCATGAAACCGAGCTAACAATGAATAATCTTATTTCCATACTTCATCGCTGCTGATTATCATTTAACAATGGCCAACTAACAAGTTTGCTATTCGAGCCTCCGCAACACTGCCTGCCACTCACTTGGGCACTGCACACAATGTATTGAGGGCACTTTTCAACACTTTATCAGCATCTGAGGCACTTGCCACTTGAAGAGAACTAACTGCCAACACTGGCAGAAAAACTTAATTAAGCATAATAGAGCTGAGCTCTCGGCATGCAATGCAGCAGCATTTTCTTGCATTTTTTTTCTCTTTTCAAGTTCTTTCACCCAAGCTGTAAGTAGCTGTCGGTAATTTGCGCTTAGCCACACTTTTACAGACCGACACGCCGACGAAGCAGCAGCTGGGTGGAAGGCCTGAGAAGATGTAGATGGAGATGTTGGCAGTGTCTTGCACATTTTTAATTGCATTTCCGCTATTTTTGATGCTCTTTGAATTTATAATGTGAACTCTGCTGCCCGGCTGGCTGCCTGGCACGTTCTGAGAAATATAATTCAATTAATTACAAAGACGACAGGTGCAAGGCAACTAACACTTAATATTAATCATACGCAGCGTAAACCAAAACGAAAAAAAAAAATATATATATATATATAAAAGCTATCGCATTTGTAGCTTGTAGCAGAAGCCTCCTAGGAGGGCGGGGCAACCTTTGTATCTAATAAACATGTTTATTTCATTAGCGCTACACATGCGTCCATTTCGAATGTGAGGGCAGGGGAAAAAATAAGCAAAAAATGTTGGGTACTCCCCCAGGACATCATTTGCCGTGCCGATTGCCACGATTTCGACATGAAAAATGCGTTCGCGAAAAGTTGCCAGCTCGCGCTCTTTATGATTGGGATTTGCGGGCACTAATGTGCCATAGCTTGGCCCATGCTCGACGTTTTTATTTTATTTTTT